CCCACTCAGGACACTTGGAATACATTGGACGAGCAGTATGGAGGAATATTGATACGTTTTTTGTGGACTTTTATGGACCTTTCTGTCTCGGGCGCCATAGACCTCCATTATTTGAATGTCAGCAGACAGCAAGAAGCCTCCCAGATCTCCAGATGCATTTGAGATATCAAAAAAGTACTCCAGAGTGTTGTTCAGCATGGGGGTGAGTAGAAAATGAAGGCTAATCATGTTTTGGGTGTACTATTCCTTTAAGGCTGATTTATACTCAGAAACCAGGTCGTCTGCATGTGTGTCGCAGTGAACGTAAATGTGCCTCCGCCCCTCCGCAGACACTCTACTACTCCTCTCCAAAATTGTAGGTGACTGCGCAGACAGCACTGCAGACAGGAGGCATGTGATTAGTCAAATCAGGACCACTTGCTGACACACTGTATAATCAGCCCTTTAGTCCTTGATGTGGCCCTTTGCCGCATGTCTCTCCCCCTCTCTCATACACCCTTTCCTATCAGCCTACTGTCAACAAAATAAGCTAAAAAAAACAACTTCATTAAAGATGGCACCATATTCCTGTTAGAAGCTTCATCTTTCCAACAAAATCTGGTTTAATTATTCTTTTTTCTCTTTTTGTTCTGTCCAAGAAATCCACTTAAGCTGATTGGTTTTAATAAGAATGCTTTCCATCCTGTCTTATTTTCCTTGAGTTTATTTCTTCTTAGTGTTTAGGCTCTTGTTGCCTTCAAGTTTTTGAAAGTGAGCAGACAGGAAATGGGGCATAGAGAGTTAAGGGGAAGATATGCAGCAAAGGTCAGCGAGCCTGGGCTCAAAGCCATGACAGCCGTGTTAAGGAATTAGTTTTTTTGCTTAACCCAACCACCACTACTGCTGTGCCCTATTTCTTATTAGTTATACAGTAATGTCCAATTATATAAAGAGAAATAATATTGAGGTGGGAAAATATGCTTTACTGCAGTCTTTTAGTGTTATGAGCAGTTGATCCATATCCCATAAACCTTTCTTCAAAGATGGATCTTAATTCTGCTTATTATGAACAAAGATTAAAATCTCTCCACTCGGTTCCTAATAAACAATTATATTTTCATATTCAAAAAGATATACCATAGTCTGACTCAAATAACATAAATATAGGGAATATAAGGAATAAGTTTATTATCCCCAAGCAAAGAAGGGAAAAAAAACATGGTTGTTAGAGGAAAGGACAGATGAAGAGAGAGGAACTCTGGGTAAGAGCGCAATCCTATCATCTCCACTGGAGACACTGTCCAGCTGCCTCCACTTCTAATCAACACCAATTTACCCGGTGCTCTGAAACACGCAGCAGCCCAGAGGAAACGCCTTGGGCTGTAACATCACTGTCAGCTGTGAGACATTTTTTGGATGAGTTCCATTTCCCATCAGGTTCAAACAACTGAATTTACCACAGGTTGCCTCCAATCAAGTTGTAGCAAAGAATGGACAACGAAATCAGGGACATTTCTGGAGCACCTGAGCTCAGTTTTCAGTTTCTTTGCAGAAAACGGATGCACATTATTGCTGAGTTTGAATCTGGCGGATGCAACCTCCGAAGGCCAGATTACAGTAGTCAGTTGAAGACATCATAGCGCAGCGCAGTGGCCTGTGCAGTTTGGAAGACTCCTTTGTATACGGCCGAAAAATGCAGCCTTGCTTTCGGCAGATTTGAAGGACACGTCCGGGTGCATCCTCCTTAGCTTTTGGTATCCTATGATTCTTTGCGAGCCCAAGCAAGCCAGCTGCTCTGTGCTCAGAGGAAAAAGTGAAATGTCGACAAACAGTGGTGAATATTGTAAATACAGTTTGATATAATACAAATATGTAAATAGTTCTGTCTGAAATGAATGAATATATTTATTTTAAATTGTTATTGACTCAGATAAATGGCGGTTAATATTTGATTTGTTGAAAGGTTTCAGTGTAAATGGGTTTGGCTGACATTAAAGCGCAGATTCAGATGTCTGCACAGCGTGGGGACTATAAATCTGATATTCGCAACAACGGTACTGCTACTGGAGCTCCTCGACAATATAATTAGCACCTAGAGCAGTACTAAGAAGTTCAACATCTATTCTTTGCCTGCTTTGTGTGTCAACTGTCACGGTTGCTAGGCAATGGAGCGTATGAGAGGTGGAAGCTTGAGAAGGCTGGACCTGCTTGAATCCATAACCAGAATTCTTCCTTATTTTCATGCATCTGTAAGGACCTGGTCCAGGTAGACTGAGTCCTTGGTGGATGCAGCGGCTGAAATCAAACACACCCCAGGTCTGGGAGGAGTTTACTCAGGATACCATCTGCCACCTCATCAGGAGCATGACCAGGCATTGTAGGTAGGTCATATTACATTACATCAAAGTTGGATCGGCCTGTGATTTATTTCCCCTTTTTTGTGTGTGACTCCAAATCCGATCCTCCACTAGTAATAAACTTGATTTCCATTGATGATTTGTATGATTTTGTTGTGTCATGATTTAATTAAAGGTCTGACCCAAAATGCAGAAGTCCAAACAGAGAGACACGGATGAAAAGTTTGACGGATTTTGTTGAAGATGTTAAGCTCGGTGCAGAGTTCCTCTGAACTCTGCTCGGCCGGAACTGGAAGATGAGGGGGAGACAGACTATTAGTTCAGGCTCAGTGGGAAATTTGATTCGTTGATTTAAAGCAGAGGATCTGGTTGTTGACTCACGTTTCCAGAGAAGTGAAGGATCTTTGACTCCAATCTGTGTGTTGGTTTTTTCAGAGTTTGTCTGACTCGGTGGAGGGCGGAACAGGGTTTACCCAGAACTCGGACGGTGTAGGGGAACCAAGACGCTGATTGCCACTCAGATTTCCTGCTGTACTTGAACGGGTCGTAGTGAAGATGATTCCCTTCCTCAGAGAGTAATTTTAACATCCTCAAAGGAGACTGGATCCAAACCTCATGTTTGATTCACTGGCTCAGTTTAGACTCAGTTGATCCCTCATGGGAGAGGAGGTCCGAAAAGGTCCAGTTTGCAGGATGACTTCCTGCCGAGAGGCAAAGACAAAAATCAAAGTTAAAACTCAGGGAGACAAGAACTCAGTCTTACTCAGTGAAAATTCAGCTTGGCTAGAGAACCAAAAACTGGCAAACACTCTGGCGTCGAAGTAGTGGCAATCATTAGCTTAAGAGCACTCCGTTAATGTGTGAGGAGGCGAACCGGAACCAGGCGCCTCCTGTTGGTGGAAGGGAGACAAACACAAAAACAAACACACAGACAGGAGCCCTGACATGTTGTCGGTATATTTACAAATCTCGGGTGAAAGCCGGAGAAGGCTAGACCAGTTTGAATCCATGGGGAAAACTCTTCCGGCCTCCATAATTTCACAGTCTTGGAAAGACCCAATCCAGGTAGGCTGGGTCTTTGGAGGACGCAGCTGTTGAAATCAAACACTGCCACTGTGTTTCAGAATGAACGTTTTACTTGTGTTTACTAAAATGTCTTGGAAACAACCATTATGGGCTAAACTGTTTGGTTATGTATGATCAAAACAAAGGAATGAGTTTTTGAAGGTACATCTGAAAGAAGTTGAATAATGGTATAATATATAACATATATTGATATATCAACTTTTTCAGATATTCTATTTTTTAAATAATGCCTGTTGGGCTTTATTTATTCTATTCAGTTTATTCTATTCAAAAAATAACCTAAATGTATGATTTGCACTAGAGCTGACTGGAGGAAAAACATTTCTAAAAAGTAAAAAATGTGATGATTTTTCAAAACAGTTAAACTGTGCTTTGTTTTCCAAACTTTAAGACTTTTTCTATCCATCTAGGAAGCCCTTTCAATTNCGTTAATGTGTGAGGAGGCGAACCGGAACCAGGCGCCTCCTGTTGGTGGAAGGGAGACAAACACAAAAACAAACACACAGACAGGAGCCCTGACATGTTGTCGGTATATTTACAAATCTCGGGTGAAAGCCGGAGAAGGCTAGACCAGTTTGAATCCATGGGGAAAACTCTTCCGGCCTCCATAATTTCACAGTCTTGGAAAGACCCAATCCAGGTAGGCTGGGTCTTTGGAGGACGCAGCTGTTGAAATCAAACACTGCCACTGTGTTTCAGAATGAACGTTTTACTTGTGTTTACTAAAATGTCTTGGAAACAACCATTATGGGCTAAACTGTTTGGTTATGTATGATCAAAACAAAGGAATGAGTTTTTGAAGGTACATCTGAAAGAAGTTGAATAATGGTATAATATATAACATATATTGATATATCAACTTTTTCAGATATTCTATTTTTTAAATAATGCCTGTTGGGCTTTATTTATTCTATTCAGTTTATTCTATTAAAAAAATAACCTAAATGTATGATTTGCACTAGAGCTGACTGGAGGAAAAACATTTCTAAAAAGTTAAAATGTGATGATTTTTCAAAACAGTTAAACTGTGCTTTGTTTTCCAAACTTTAAGACTTTTTCTATCCATCTAGGAAGCCCTTTCAATTAAACTGATGTGATGATTTTTGTTGATCAGGCTCTAAATTAGTTGCATTTTAACTAATGTTATGTTCTTTCATCTGTTAGACTCATTGCATTTATTCTGGGGTTTTCTTCATAATCAACGTTTTTGTTCATTATTTTTTTCTTTTTTTCAAACATTCAACTTAGAATGAGACTTAAACTTAATTTAATTTAAGCTCTTCTATGTTGTAGTTTAAAATTACAATAATGTAGAAGTTCCCCCTTTTGTTTGAAAATGTAGAGAAGTTTAAACTATATTTATTTGTAAGCTATAAAAATAGTGAAGTAGGTGTTAAAATCCTGGCTTAGAAACCTTCTAATGTTTTATTTTGAAGTCAGCTGTGAGTTGTTTGCTGTCGGAGCTGCAGACGCGCTCCATCATTTACTAGAGCTCTATTGGCTGGGTCCGGTTGCGTCATTTCCGCACAAATGACGGTAAGTAAGAACCGCTTCTTCAGTCGCTGTAGTAAAGTCCGTGGAGCTGCTACATGGGGCCGCGTCTCTGCACGCGGAGAGCAACAAACTGACGCGGTGCACTTTACACGCGTGGAATTTATATTCTCAGCAGCTGTGGGGTATTAGAGCTGGATCTTATAGGGATAACTGCCTGAGAGGGGGATAAGTTTTTTCTTTTCTTTCTGGAGTAAAGAAATTGTTTTTTTGTTTGTTGTTCAATTTGTAGGAATAGATGTAATTTGCGGTTGAAGGGTTTGTTTGTCTTTTTTTTTTTTATTTCTGGAGCTTTTGTCGGAGAGAGACACCAGAGAAGGGGCGGCTCGGTGTCCACCTGACCTCCTGGAAAAAAAACACAGCAGCTAATGACACTGAGAGCCTTACGTTGCGCATTAAGCTCTCCAGCTCTTCCCACCGTTTGCGCACCATTCCCCTTTTTAAACTTAAACTAAAAGGATATGTTGGCTTTGGAATATTTTCAGATAGTGAAATAGTTTGGAACAACTTTTATCGTTCTATCCCTGGCCGGACTGGACATTATGCGGATCGTTGATCCACTCCGGCGCTCCTGATGCCTCGAACCGGTCCTATCCATCGGCTCCATCCCGGAATGCCTGCCCTCTAACCCCCCCCTGTCCAGAACCCGCTGTGGCGCCGTGTCCCGGTCCAGCCGCCAGGATGAGCAGCACCGACCTGGAGCGCATGTCGCTCAGCTCCTCGGCCAACTCGGTGGCTTCCAGCGCCCGCACGCTGTCGGCCAACGTGCGGAAGCTGCACAACGCGCTCAACCTCCTGCTCAGCGACTTCGAGAGGGAGCAGTTCATCCACTGCCTCAACGTTTACCACTCCAAGCGCAACGTTTACGACTTGGTGCAAACCCTCAACGTGATCCTCAACGCGCCCAGCAAACGGCAGCTGCTCCCCATGCTGCGGCTGGTCATCCCCCGCTCGGACCAGCTCCTGTTCGAGCAGTACACCTCGGAGGGGCTTTACTTAAAGTCGGATTTAGTTGCAAACAACGGCCACGCCGACCCCCCATCGGGAGACTTCCCCAGCGCCAGTCCGACACCCTCTGGGAACCTGTCGCCGAACAAACCCCCGGAGTTGCAGGTCGCGCTGCGGGGCTCCCCGGACAGCTTCAGCACCAGCAGCGAGGGGACAGCTCCGCTGGTGCCTCTGCTCGGCAGGAACTTCATCCATGAGCCGCCCGGGGAGCTGCGCCAGGTCACCATGAAGCGGCACAAGAGCAACGAGGGCCTGGGCTTCAGCATCCGCGGCGGCTCGGAGCATGGAGTGGGGATCTACGTGTCCCTGGTGGAGCCCGGGAGCCTGGCGGAGAAACAGGGGCTCCGGATCGGCGATCAGATTATGAAAGTTAACGATAAAGTCTTTGATAAAGTCACCCACGCTGAAGCGGTGAAGGTAAGGGACGTTTTCCTGCTTTTACAGCCTCACAAAAAAAGTCAGACATACTCTAAATTTGGTTTAAAAACACATCATATCCGACTTTACACCAAACTATAACATTGTTTTGTTTATTTTAACCAGTTTTGCATTATAATCAGCTGATAACATTATACAATACTGTTTACCGTTTTAAAAAGGGATTTTATTTACTTTATTTCATGCATTTTAGAAAGGTTGCTTGATGAACTTTGACTTTTCCAGTTTGGTTTTACATTATTAAGAGTTATTGTTGTATTTTTGACTGATCACTTCTGAAGAAAAATATTTCTTTGTTTTTTTCTGCGTATCCAAACGCACAGAAACCATCCAAGGCAAACATATCAGTAAGTAAAGACCCATGGGAGAGTAGAATAAGCCCACTAATTCAGCTGAGATGAGCCAAATTAAAAGAGACGGATGTAATTCATATTAGTGTTTAGTAGAATGTGAATCATTTATTACAAAATTTATGTATTTTCTCTCTGTTGAGTCATAATTATTAGTGCTGGCAGAAAACCCACAAAAAAAGCTGTATTTTATGTTGTTAAAACGAAACATGTGCTAATTAAAAGTGGCTTTTCATGTCTTGCACCTGTGCAGTAAATATCAGATGGCCATTTTTTTTTGTGAACCACCTCACCAATATTTTTAGAAGACGTCAGGATTATGTGTCAAGGTAATGGATCTGAATTAAGGCATCAATTCATAGAATTTATGATCTGCAAAAAGGAAAGATTGGCGGGTTCTAAGACTGTAGAGTAATACTGCACAATATGTAAATATATTGTCTCTGAGATGTCGGTCTGTGCAATATTAATGTGCAGTAATTGTTAGCTGATATAGTTAAAGTTTTGAGGTGGTGTTTTTATACAATATTATTAAGTGTGTTGGACAGAGTCTAAAGCAGATGCTCAAACTGGGCACAAGTGTCAGTACTGACAATGTTAAAGATCCAAGAGTGTATGAAGCACAGATTAACAGAGAGGAACAAGGATGTACCAGATTATTGTCAGTGAAATATTTCCCAATGTTGTCGTTTTTACAAGGTTATCTAATACTGTGCTGCACAGTAGGTGTGTAAAAATAGATGCCAGTAAACAACTGTTAAGAATCGGTTGTAAAGTATGTTAGCTTTTGGACTGTTCCTGCTCATTGACTTTTTTTCTGCTGCTCATAAACAGACATTAATTGTGCAACTTTATGCCACGAAAGTTCACTGGCTGAATAAACAAAGTTTTTATCATTCACCTTTCAGAACGTGACATTTAAAGTGGCACTTGCGTTCTGGTGGCATTTTCTGAGGCTTCAGCAGTGTCCTGACTTATTAAACTGTGACTTTTTCTAGTTTGTTTTTCCAGCCGAGTAGGAAAATAGCAAACATTTGGCACTTGTTGATTGCCATACAACCTCTACTGAAGTGGAGGATAGTGAGGAGGACTATAGCTCCCTTGGAAAAGCTGGATAGTTGGGCTAAGTTTACTTAAAGTTGGGATGTCCTGAGGTGATATTGAAAGGTAGTATAATATTAGCTAAAAAATAGATTTCAGAATAGAATCTCCCATATAAGCTTACCAGTACCGGTCCGTGGGTCATTTGGTACTGGGCCGCACAGAAAAAAGTATATATATATAATTTATCGACGATCAGAGTCTGAGTGATGTTTTATTTTGAAAAATATAAAAAATTGCGGTATTCTCTCCCAATTACGTCAGTCGGTGCATCTGTGCCTCTTGACACAGGTTAATTCAGTTCAACACTCGTCCTATCTTTGTGAAGCGGCATTTTCTGCGGTTAAAGCGACCAAAACAAAGCTACGAAGCAGACTGGACATCAGGAGCACACTTCGTCTGTCATTTTCTCCGATTACGCCTAGATGGGACCGACTTGTTGTTTTATTTTTATGCTGTTTGTATGTGATTTTATGCCAGTCGTATCATTTTTACTTGATCGTATTTCCCCCACCGGCCCCCCCCGGCCGGTCCGTGAAAATATTGTGTGAAATATAGCGGTCCCTGGTGCAAAAAAGGTTGGGGACCGCTGCTCTATAGCATCAGTATCGGTATCCGTCGCTTCTCAAAAGCTGCAATATCGGTATTGTATCAGAAATGGAATAAGTTGTATTGAATCACCCCTAGATAAGAGGTGCTACGTCTCACCCTGCGTCCTACCAGGCAGCTATAAATGTGTGTTTGGAGTCAAAGCTTTAATCTGGGAACAGTCTCACTGGTTGGAGATGGGGGAGTGAAACTACTCTGACTCAAAGGTTTGGTTTTCAATGAACAACCTATGAACACGTAGCATTGAACATCTATGTGTGAAAGTCTTTCTGTGGTGTTTGATTCTAAATGATTGAGACCTTATGCATGTAAACAGTTTTTACTACTAATGGTAAGAAAGGAGCAAATCCCACTAATGTTCTGGCCTAGAACCAGAGCTCCCTCCCCTCTGTTGTTACTTCATCACCAGATCTCAGCTCCGCTTTCTAAAAACTCATGAATGGAGCAGAAATGTCTTGTTGTGATAGTTTCATTTTTATGACTGAAGTCACTGAATTTAAAGGTCTTAATAAGGGTAAGCTACGTGATGCTATGAGTACAGTGTTTAGCAGCCAGAGCTTGAACAGCCTATAAAAAGTCATTCTAAAAAAGGATGGCGCTCTAGTTTGTGAGTCGGTGCACAGAGGTGGCTCGGTCACATCACTTACTGAAGGAGCTCTGAGGTTCATTTATTGGTCCACTGCGTGTCAGCGTCAAGGCAACCAGGCTGTTTAGTGGCTCTCTTAAGTGTTGCACGCTCAAAGCTCGTGTACATGACCCCTCTGGGAGATAACAAGCTCCTATACATTGTAGGGCCCTAACTGTGTGTTTTTAGCTCACACCATCAGTGCAGAGGCTCTACAGCAGGGTAAACTTTAGATCAGTTCTTCTAGGAAGCTCCACGGGAACCGGACACCCTGAGAGCAGTTGGTAACCATAGAGGCGCGTGTGTTTGTGTGCAGGTTTGAATGGACGGAGGTTGTCTTTTTCTACTAGTTGACTGAAAGTGAGACTCAGGAGCAAGAAGAATGTGTTTAATGTAATGGAGCTGGTAATGCAAAGCCACTGTGGTCATAACCAAATGGCTAAAGCATACATTTGTACCTGTAAAGCGTAACTAATGGGAATTAAACTTGATTTCTTTTGAAAATATGAACATTTATTCTAGCTTTACTTTAAGAATATAAGAATTGTAATTATTTGTAAACAAACCTGGTATATCTTTGTCCTAGGCAAGGCAAGGCAAATGTATTTGTATAGCACAATTCAGTACAAAGACAATGCAAAGTGCTTTACATGATTAAAATACGGGAAGATAAAACAGAATCAAAGCAAGTAGGAAAAAATAAATAAAATAAAAAATGCAGCAACAAAAAAGAATATTAAAAACAGTTGTCCTACTTCATTCTGCACCTCTATCACTGGATTTTATGAAGAGGACAATGAAATGATTACAAACCATTTCAGGGATCCGGAAGTCTTCAATTTCTCTGTATAGGTTTGAGGACAATAAAGTGTGTAGTCTATTTTAACTGTATTGCTAAATATGTGCATTTCTGGGTTAAAGGATGTTTCTCATTCCTCTCCGTATTAAAACTCATATTTTTAGTGTTCATGTCCCCGACAGAAAAAGACACTGATAAACATATTTAATTGATGATCAGAAAAGGGCTAATTCCCTGTTTTCCTCACCTTTAGACCAAAATAAAGCAAGTTATTCACTTTTTGCAAGCAAAATAAATGTTACTGCACCAGTTCCCAGCATGTTTCCTCAAGACACAAAAGAAAAAATAATAATAATACTAAAAACAGATCAGCAGATCACCAACTTTTTCATAATATGGGACCTTTAAAGGAACTTTTCTGAGGAAGGATAATCTTATCCTAATATCACCAATCAGTTTTAATAGATTTTATAACAGAGCTGTTGTAAACTAATCCAGATTAAAGAAAAAAAGGGAAATGTTCCTTTAAATATTCCTTTACCAATCTGCCAAATCGGAAGCTGACTGCAGCTTTACCTATAAATGTAGATACTTTGTGTCCAGAATATTAAAATTCTGTTGTAAAAAATGTGAATGAGAAAACTTTTAATAGGCCATCTGTGCATCAACTGTTAGATTTGGGTCAGGGCTGTTAGATGGGTTACATCTGTTTTTATAGGTGGGGAATAAATCAGCTTGTTGTCCATAAAAGTGTGCGATTTGGACCAGATCTCTTTTGCCAGGTCAGCATGCCACATTTAGAAGTAGGGGTGTAAATCACATCCATTCAGTATCGATTTCCTGACCCAACGATTCGATTAGTTTTGATACTCAAGAATACACCACAATTCAATTCGATTAATCGATTAATTTTTTAATTATTTTTTTTTTTACACCTTACAGGCTAAACAAAGTTTCAAGTTTGAAATAAATCAATGAAAGCTGTAATATCGTTATGCATTTTTTTTTTTTTAGAAACAACAGCAAATAACAGAAGTAGAAAAGTTGCATCAAAGAATACTGCAAAAATACTGCAGAAAATCAGTGCAATGAGTGCAATGCAATACCTCGGCTCCAGACGTCCCGCCCCCTCCACAGACGCTCTGCTGCTCCTCTCCCAAATTGTAGCTGACCGCAAACAGTGCTGCAGACAGGAGGCCGACTTGTTTTGTTTTTATGACCGAAATTGCGGAAAACAACTCGTGAAGTTTGACCCGCTAGAAGAGCGAAGTGCGCAAGAACGCTGGGACCCTTTTTCCACCTGGATCTCCGCTCTTTATGGCCCTCATGTCCCTCCGTCGTCGGACTAAACTAGCCCCCACTTCCTCACCGCCTCGGCCGTATCTAGACCCACAGCGTGTAGCACAGACCACGCTTCAATATTGAGCGTAATTTAAAAATGTCTGCATCAAGCTCACTGCAACACACTGCTGTAAGAGTATAACCAGGAAGCGAG